GCTGCGCTTCTCAGCAGCAGCAGCAGCAGCAGCAGCAGCAGCCGCAGCAGCAGCCGCAGCAGCAGCCGCATCAGCAGCAGCGGCAGAAGCAGCAACAGCAACGACGGCTGCAGTGGTAGAGGGTAGAGGAGCAGCACATACTGCAGCTGCTGTAGCCACAGCCCTTGATCCTGCTGCTGTATCAGCTTGCTATTGCTGCTGCTGCTGCTGCTGCTGCTGCTGCTACTGCTGCTGCTGCTGCTGCTGCAGCTAGATATTATGGCCTCTGCAGCTCCATCTAGGTTTGATGCTGCTGGGGGGGTGGTGGTGCTGCAGCAGCAGATAGAGGGGGCGGCTGCTGGGGGCAGAGCTGCGAAGAAAAGGAAGCGTTCCTCTTCTGCTGCTGCTGCTGCTGCTTCAGCAGCAGCAGCAGCAGCAGCAGCAGCTGCTGCTGCTGGACAGCGCAGCTGGCCCGCCAAGCTTGTAAAGGAGTGGGGGCCCTTGAGGGGGCCCCCCAGGGGGGCCCCCCAGAGACCCGGGAAACAACCCTTTGAAACAGCAGCAGCAGCAGCAGCAGCAGCAGGTGCTGCTGCTGCAGCACAGACTGCTGCTGCTGCGGGAGAAGTTGCTGCTGCAGGAGCTGCTGCTGCTGCTGCAGTGGAGGAGAAAGGAGCCCAGCTGCTGCTGCGTCGCGCAGCAGCAGATGGCGTGCTGGCGGCGTCTCTGGTGGCAGCAAGCGGGAAACCAGCAGCAGCAGCAGCAGCAGCAGCAACAGCAGCAGCAGCAGCAGCAGCGCCAGCAGCAACACCGACAGCAGCTGCAGCGCGTGAGGCGGATGGCGCACTCCCAGCGGCAGCAGCAGCAACAGCTACAGCTGCTGCAGCAAATACAGCAGCTGCTGCTCCTGCAGGAGAATCAGCAGCAGCAGCAGCAGCCCGGACGACAGCAGCAGCAAACCAAAACGCAGCAGAGACAGCGGCACTAGCAGCAGCAGCAGCACGACGGACAGCAGCAGCAACAGCAACCCTAGAGGGGAAATACCACGGGAACGCTGCTCCCGTTGTCACGGCTGCTGCTGCTGCTGCTGCTGCTGCTGCTGCTGCGCAGCAGCAGCAGCAGCAGCAGCCTCAGCCGCAGCCTCAGCCGAAGCCGCAGCCGCAGCCGCAGCAGCAGCAGCTACAGCAACAGCAGCAGCAGCAGCCTCAGCCGCAGCTGCAGCAGCAACAGCTGCAGCAACAGCTGCTGCAGCAGCAGCTGCAGCTGCAGCTGCAGAAACAGCAGTTGCAGCAGCAGCAGCTGCTGCAGCTGCAGAAACAACAGTTGCAGCAGCAACTGCAGCAGCAGCAGCAGCTGCAGCAGCAACATTTGGAGCATCAGGAGCACCTAGAGCAGCAGCACCGGCTTCAGCACCAAGCACTGCATCGGCTGCAGCAGCAAGTGCTGCAGCGACAGCAGCAGCAGCAGCAGCAGCAGCGCCAGCAGCAGCAGCAGCAGCAGCAGCGGCGGCGGCTGCTGTGCTCCGCGCTGCTGTCCCTCAGCTGCACTGCAGCAGCAGAGGGGTCCCCCCAGGCAGTGGGGCGGCGCCCCGAAGCAGCAGGCCGGGGGTGGGGATGGGGTTGGCGTTCTCCTGCTGCTGGGGGTTGCTGCGCTGCTGCTGCTGCTGCTGCTGCAGCTGCTGCAGCAGCAGCAGCAGCAGGCTGCTGCGGCGGTGCTGCTGCTTGCTGCTACCCGAGGATCCCCCATGCATCCTGTGGCCACTGTATACGCACCAGCAGCAGCAGCAACAGCAGCAGCAGCAGCAGCTGCAGCAGCAGCACATTTGGCAGTAACTGCAGCTGCAGCAGCCATAGCACCTGCTGCAGCAGCAGCAACAGCAGCACATACAGCAGCAGCAGGAGCAGCAGCAGGAGCAGCAGCGGGCAACCACGCTCACCAGCAGCAGCAATAACGGCTCTAGCTGTCTGCTGTAACAGCAGCAGCTCAGGTGTAGATGCTGCAGCAGCAGCAGCAGCAGCAGCAGCAGTACCAACAGCGCGAGCAGCAGCAGCT